GGAAGGTCACAGCAGTGAAGCGAACAAACATGTAATTCCAGAGCTAAATCCTTGCAGGAATACTTGCTTCATTTGGCTGGTGTCTGCTGGGCAGGAATTCCCAGAAATTCCAGGGAAAGTTGGGATYCCCTGCAGGAGGTGGGGGTGCACGTGTCCACTCTCTGCCGCTGCCTCTTGACCACTGAAGAGGCCCTGAATTTAGATAGGACAATCTGTATCAGTTAAGTCTCCCTATTTCATCATCCACAGAAGAATTTAACAACAAGATCTACTTTTTTTTCACATTATCAACTTGAAGACAAGGTTCATAAGGGGGAARCCCCACTTCATTACTATGTGAAAGATCACAGAGATATCACTTACCTGCAACTGTCACCGAGAAGCATCTTATTTGCAGTTTTCCAGGGGGAATGCATAAAGTTTCCTTGGAGAACAAGTCACAAGTCACTAGCAGTAAGCAAAACTTTGCATAAAAATTAGTCTTCCTAATAATCTATTAAAACAGGATGTTTTTAAACAAGCCAATACCATTACCAAACTTATAAACTAGCTGCAATATTAAAACTCTTTGGAATACCTCAGACAATATATAGAGCTTTTAGCCTCACAAATTAAAAATTTGTCAAAATTATGGAAGTGATTTCTGTATTTCCCTTAGGCTTATTTCACTACAACACAGAGTGACATGTTTTCTAGAGCAGAAGCTTAACAGAGAAAAACATTTTTCATAAGAAAACTTTCTACRGCTCTTTAAAAAATAGCAGTGTTCTTTCCCACAAAAGGAAATCTGCTTTCTCAAGGCATCTCATGACTGAAATGCATCAAGGAAGTTACTAGTTTAGCAGGAGCGGGACATTTCCTGCTTCCCACTGGATTGGGTGCTCAGTTACTTTTGCAGGGAGGCTGCTGGTGTGGCTTTTGCTCTKTTCTGTGGATGCTGACCTCTTGAGAAGTCCTGTGCTGGTTTCCACTCCCCATGACGCTATCTGCRGCTGGCCTCTATTGCCCTCTGCTTGTTGCCACATGAATCTGCTTACAGAGGGATACAGAATGTAAAAGAGGTGGGAAACCTGTGTGTGCTCCAAGAATAGGTGGCAGCAGAGCAGGACGGCTGCCCCGCTGCCCACGGCCACGCGGACACACGGCCCCGAGGTCCCTGAGGCTGCATTCTAAAGGAAGGCATTCCAGACACCGAGAGGCCACTTGCTAWACGGAGAGCACTGATAACATTATTTGATAAAGACTAGAAATGTTTGTCTCCATTCACTGAATTCATCGCATTCTTCAGCCAGTGCAGCTCCMCATGTCCTGGATTCCCCCCAAAAATCTTTTTTTTTTTTTCAGAAGTAACCTGAAGAAAGTAGTTCAAAGGGACCAGAAGCATAAGCCCAGTCTATCCTCCCTGCTGCTACTCTGCCTTTTAATCCCAGTCTTGCTGCATTTCTGTTAATAGCAAACTCTGCAGACTCCTATGYATACAGGGTTACTCCCTTCGATCCATAAAACCTCAGAACCTCCAAATGTCAAGGACTGGCTTTCTATATTTTCTATATTCTATATTTTTCTAGAAATGTTCCTCAGTTATTCCCATTACATTTTTSTTCCTAAACATATGACTTCAAAGGTTTTGTAAAGCAGCCTAGTGCTACCCAAAAAAAGTTAGTCTCAGGAACAGAATCATTCACTGAKACTCCTCCGACTCCTCTGTGTCACTCCAAGTCCTCTTAGCAGTGAAAATACAGTCCTCCTTCCAGCAATATTTCTGGATTTTGCCAACCTTGCACTCTGTAGGGGTTTCAATCTTGAAACTCTGACATGTTCCCAGAACTAGCAGCTAAGCTCTACCTCTTCTTGTACCATCTCTAAACTCCACCTTAGCCAATGGAACTAGAAACCTCTGATGACAAAGGAACATCCTAGTTTTACGCAGTCACTGCACTTGCTAAGGGGTTTTCCAAACACATCTTATTCCCACCTTCTATCTGCAAAGCTTTTTAATCTGCAACTTCCATCCCCTTGCAAGTTATAAAGAGAGGAGCCAGCCAGCTCTGCCTGGCCGTGCTTGGACGCTCGTTCCCACCTGTGGCTGCAGCAAAGAGCCCCTCACAAGCTGGCCTACGTAGGGCCTGCAGTGCCACCAGGCTTGCACCCCGGCCAGGGTGGCTCCAAGCAATCCYGGTGTTGTTGTTTTTCCAGCATTTGGAAAGCTCCCCTTCACAACTGTTCAGTCTAGAGGGTTACTGTAGAAGTGCTTGTGTATTTGCTCTCAAAATGCTGCACATTTTAGTCACTGCCAAGAAGCCCTTTCCAGCAGTACAGCAATTTATCTTTGAAGAACTCATACTTTGCTGTAGTCAGCTAGTACCCTTTTAAGACAGTCCTAAGTTGTTCTTGCATCAGACTTATGCAGGAATCAAAAGCACAAGCAGCTGGGTCCAATATTCAAAGGGTTTTGGAAAAATCAGCAAGCTCAGACAGAAACAGTCACAAGAGCCTTTCAAGCATTAAAAAAAAAAATCCTCAATTGCATCCTGCTGGTGACTGAAAGCGTTACCTCTCCCCATCCAAAYTCTGACATCATTTTGCAATGTTAGCAAACTAGCAAATGAGCTTTCTGTCATCAGAGAAAGYGAGGAGTCAGCCAACTCTCTGCAGTTTCTATTTCTCTCCGTTGATAAAAATTCCTCCTCCTCCACTGATTACAGGTTGAAGATAAATTGCTCTTTATGGAACACGCTGCACTTCCCCGGATTCAGTTTCAGATTGGCATCCTCAAGCTTATCACAAACCATTTGTTAGGGAACCAGCTCTCCAGTGGCACGAAGCTCTCCCGCGGGAGCAGCAGGCAGGCGGGCGCAGGGGCACCTTGCAGCCCTCCCTGCATCTGCATCGCTCGGACGAAGCACTGCCTGTCAGGAAAACCATTACCCTAAACACATGCAGTTTCATTCTGTTTTTCTTTTCCACATCATTCTGCCTTTATGGGAGATCTACTTTATGTAGCTGCTATTATGTCGGCATCTGGAGGTGACACCAGTTCGCTGCAAATTAACTTCCTCCTAGACACAGTTTTCCTACTCCAGATAAATCGTTTGAGATAATTTTCTCCAATCTAACTGATAGGTCATTTTTCCTGCTATTTRTTTTTCTGTTATACATCATGAACACCATCATGTCTGATTCATCATAAAAACAGCACAACATGTTTTTATTAAAAAAATAGGTCTAATTTTTTTAAGCCAATATTCTTCTTCTATGAATGGGAAACCCTGAGTGACTATTTATAGCTTAACCTATTGCCAATTTATCTTAGAAGCTTTTTTATTAAATCTGAATAAGACCTCTGAGATCCCCAGCAAATTCAGCAGCCTTCCCTTCCTAGCAGGCGGGACCACGACTGTGCAGGGCCAAAATGTGCCAGGACTTTCCAGACCATGAGGCCTCGTGCAATCCCAGCAGCTACGTGTGAAAGGGGTTTCTCTGCTCCAGCCCCACACATTTTGCCTCCAAAGGCCTCTCATTCTTGTCTAACATAACTTCAAGACCTTACCACTTGCCCACTAGTGGCTGCCGTTTGCATTAAAAGTCACAGAAAGCACACAACATTTCTTTTCAGCAACCTCATTTACTCTTTACTTCAGCCCTGGGCAGGCAGGACGGCAGCAGCCTCGGCTGCACCGGGCACTGCCAGGAGCGGGTGTCCTGCTCCAGCAGCCCAGGCAGACCCAAGCACGGGCGTTTGCAGCCTCTCATGTGAAGGAAGGCAGCCCTCCCTTGTTCCTCAAATGCCACCTACACCCTGGCTTTCCACCTAGGAAAACCTCTGCTTCAGCAGCACAGCGATATGCTGTGAAGAGGTCTTGATTCCACCTGGAAATAAGCAGGATTGTTATTAAGGGAGTGAGGGGTTTCCCCCCACGACCAAGAAGGCAGCTCATCCTGCTCCTGGCATTTCCCTCAAGGAGCATTTCAAGACACTGAACACAGACTGGACACTAAGGTGATCAGCTTTGCCTAGGACCCCCTCCCTACCTTGGGGTTTGCTCTGGTAACGCTGTTAGACATTTGGGTTGTGCTAGAAGAAAGATCTTGTGCACGGGGCACCCTCAGCTGGGCACAGCAGCCCTTGCCCGAGCGCTTCCCAACCTGGCAGAGCAGGAGAGCAGGGATCCCAGGCAGGCCGTGGGATCCCAGCGGCAGGACAAGCAGCACCGCGCGGCTGTGGAGTCTGCGGGATGGAGGGACCAAGGGGAGGCGGTGAGAGAGAGTGTCCTGCAGGCCCAACTGTTAAACCTGGTGCTCTCTTCATATACTCACTAAAAATGAGTATATTCTTCTATACTGAGGTTTGAAAGAATTCAGTAAAAAAGTCATTTATAAAAAAAAAAAAAAAAAAACAACAACAAACAACATTCATATTACATGGTAACATATATCCCTACAGAATAATGCTATGTTAAGCATCTGTTCTGCCAACTATAAGCTACTCGAAGACAGGAAGAGAATTAAAGATTTTGTTGCCTAATTGTCACAGTAGATTTCCCAAGGAACACAAGTTTCAATGCAAAATACTCTCTCCTGCTTCCTTCCCCTTTCCCACTCCCAGTTTTGCTGATATTTTTGCATACAGACCCAAAAGCTCATGTCATAAATGCAGCGTATACAAGCTAGAACAAATGTTCATGTGTTCTGTGAATACATACCAAGCATGTAAGTAAATTTTTCCTGAAGCGAAAATAATCTAGCAGTAAAATTGTCACAGCTTTGTTATATTTCTTTTTTTTTTTTTTTCCAAATATTTTGCTGCTATGTTCAATGTTAGGCAGAAAACCACAAGTGCTACAATTCTTCTTGTATCTTTTAGTCTCATGTTTCACTGATGTAGACTACATAACACCAAAAGCAATCATCAAATACTAGGTCCATTTTTCTTCAGTTTGTAGTTGTACATTATTACAAATAAAACCCCGAAGAATCTGCTGAGATTAGAAATGCATCACTGAAATACAAATGGGAGAGARTTCACCCCTCCTGATCATTAGGCATGCAATGCAACAGTTCAACTGAAAACGTTTTCAAATGTAATTTTATTCCAGTGATGTATTTACAGTCTTTACATAAATTGCAAAACAGCATTATCCAAACAGCAGTATTCACAGTACAATACTTAAAGACTCCTTATAATATGCTCCTTTATAAAAGGTGTGACACAAAGGAAAAGTCAGTCAAGGAAAGCTCATACCACACGTTCTCAGGGGTGTCGATAGAGAAAACCCCACAAAGCCCTGTAACCTGCATGAGCACAAGCTTCCATCGCAAGGGTTTGAGACCTTTGTTAAATAAACAGGTTGAAGGTTCTTTTCGGTAGACCAGTTTCTACCACAAGACTGTCCATTTAATTTTGTGCTTTCCAAAAAGCAAGCATACTACAGAAGTAAAATTCTCTGCCCGACGGGAGAGAGAGGTTTGGCAAACATGTACTTGTTTCCCATTCCAGCAGCGGAATCCAGTTCACTGAAACTCTCCTTGTGGCCACAGCAGCCCACCCTGCTCAGAGCTTCTTCCTCTTTCTCTGCTCCCCAGGGACTAGTTTACGTTTCTTAGCAGAGGCTGGTTCATCATCTTGATCATCATCATCATCATCTTTAAATAAAAAACAGTATTAATAAAAGTCAGTAAAGTCAGTATGCTGTCACAACTACCATCTGATGGACTTTACTGCATGGAGCCTCCTGGAAATAGATGCAATAGCATTAACTGACAACCACCTCATTTTCAGAATGTAGAAAATACACAAGAACAGAATAGGAATAACTAGTTATCTGAAGTACCACAGACCACGGAGAGCAATGAAGAAAAAGTCAACGTATCTTGTACAGCTGAGGAATATAGCACCTGCTCCAGGAAAAGAGAACAGTGTTTCCGTAGCTAAGATTAACAACTACAAAAAGTCATTTTGGAAGCAGGAAGTAACGTCATGGTCAATTAACAGATTATCTTCTTAGTCTCTGGGCGAAGGTTGGCTAAGAAAAATGCAGAAGAGAAAAGAAAAAAGGAATGTTTGTTTCTGTACTTACTAGGCCTCCACTACTGCAGGAGCCATCGTTAAAAGTGACAAGAACAGCAAATACCTTCTTCCTTGATCTGTCACTGGCAGTTTACYTAACTGCCCCCAGGACAGTGTGACCTGCTGCTCAAATACTTGGATGTCTTGGCCAAGAGGCGCTGCTGCAAGGGGCTCTCCTACCCGCCCCACACAGGACGTGTCTGCACCTGGTCGTTTTTAATAACTGGAGTTTTACAGACCCCTAAGTCCTCCTCTGCTGCCACTAGTAYTGGTGGGAGCAGGGCAGGGAGGCTCATGGCTGGTCCCGCTCCACCCGAGGCCGGCGGGAAACGCTCAGGACACGCACAGGACACTCAGGACATGCTCAGGACATTCAGGACACACGTGGGACCCACACAGGACAYGCGAGGCCGCTCCCGGGAGCTTCCCGTGCTGCAGCCACATTCTGCTTCGAGCGGGGCCGCGGCGGAGAGCACAGGGCCACATCGGGAGGCGGCGGCCACATGGACAGAGCAGAGAGCAGCGTCGTGCGCTCTCTGTGCGGGACACGGCGCCTGCTGTGCCCCGAGCTCCGCCACGGCAGCGGTTTCACACCGGGACACGGAAGGCGAGCGAGGTTAGGTGCRGTGCCCCCCTCTCCCCAGCATCGAGCCGGGTCTGCATGCACTAGGAGAAGCACGTGAAGCCCGGGGGATCGCCGGGCCTCGGGCRCGCGGCAGCCGCGAGCAGGCGGCACCGGGCAGGATGCTGGGCAGGATACAGGGCAGGATACAGGTCCGGGCTCACCTGGCTCCAGGCGGCGCCGCTCCTCCTCGGGCAGGAAGCGGGCGCGCGCGGCGGCGCGCGGCGCGTCCTCGCCGTTGTCCGCGTACACGTCGGACCACTTGATGGCCATGTCGCGGGCG